TGCTCAGAGTGGAATAGAATTGCACTTAGGTGTCTACTGGGTGAAATAAGTTCTCCTGCAACACTTCCTCACCTGACCTAGCTGTCCAGATGGCAGTCACACCCGGCAGAACAGCCTGTGCCTGTTGAAGCTAATTTGATCTGTGGTCGGAGTGACGTGTGTCCAGGGGCGCTCATGATTCCTCTGTAAATGCCACATTCTCTTCATCCCTGGGGGTTGTGAAATGTGGTGCTGGCCCTTTAAGGATCAGGGCTCTGGATTCACCTTTAGTGTATACAAGATTCCTTCAGGAGCATCTGGTAGCTAAGCAATCGCCATGACAACACTGTTAGGCTTGAATTGGCTGGGCCCCAAAATGGGTGTCACTTGCCAGTGCGGAAGCTGGAGTGTAAGGTGAGGGAGTATAGCGCGGAGGGATTGCAAGTGGCTCAGCAGCTTGGGCAGGTGCGCGATCCAGGCGGTGGCTGGGACTGTTCTGTAGCTGTGCTGCAGGTAGGTGGGGTCCAGCTCCTGCTGCCAGTAGCACTTCAGCTGGGGCAGGCCGGGGACCGAACTTCTGACAGCAGGAAGCCTGCAGCAGCTTCCAGTGGCTCTGCCCCACAACACTTCCTCACCTGACCATTCCCTACTTCCAGGGTCAGCACTGGGGCCAACAGGGCCACTTGGGGGAGTGAGGGCCTCAGGACCAAACTCACAGCCTATTGGCATTAGTGTGAATGCAGATGGGGGCTCATATGAGAGCTGTGAAGGCTGTTGTGGCTAGAAGGCACTTTGCCCCGTTCATCACCCCTTACCAAGGAGAACTGTGAGTAAGAAAGCCCTGCCTGGCTGTATTCTCTCCATGTAGCCAGTGCAGTCTTCAGGACCAGCCTATGGTATGCATGGTTGAAGACCAGCCCTTGTGAAGAGCATGGAAGTACCTTAGCTTGGTCTGCACTGCCCCACTATAGCCAACTGAGTAATGAGTAAGTAGCTTCGTTAATCCAGCAGAAGTCAGGGTAGATTTGCACCTTACAGACTAATTAAAACAAACACCAGCGTATACAGTACAAGCTTGTGAGAGCTGAAGCTTGCTTCATCAGATGCTGGGAAAGGACGTGTAGAAATCAGAATATCAAACAAGTAATGTGAGACTCCAGCCCTCCCTAGTCAGAATGATGGATTAGCCTCGTGTTGGGTCAACTGGTGCAGTATGTAATCAGCTCTGCTTGTTACAGCACTTGTCTGCCTGGAAGAGGCTGTTTAATTCCATCTCAACTCTGGACAAGGTGAAATGGGGACTCTCCTGTATGAGCTTGGTCCTGGGACTTATCA